CATAGTTTAGGTTTACTGTTTTATCCATTCTGACCAAACAACATATTGTGCGTTTTAAATAGCAAATTTAGATATATTTATATTGTTTATCAATTTTACTAGTATGTTTGAAACTCTACACTATGTTATTTCTTTTGAGTTAATTACCTTTTTTAAGGTTTCAGAGGAGAAAATTTATCTTTTTTGGTGGGAGGTGGGAGAGTAGGTAGGTTGAGACAAAGAATCACTATGGAACCCTGGCAAGAATATCATATGTAGCACACTTCTAAAACGTTTATGCTACTCAATTGTTTAGCAATCCAAATGTATCTTTACTGCAAAAGAAGGTATTTCGGTTCTTCTGAAGGGAAGCAGTCTTCAATTCTGCTTAAGTTAAATTCTAGGAAAACGGGGCTGGGAAGGTGGCTCAGTGGTAGAGTGCTTGCCTTGCATGCATGAGGCCCTGGGTTCGATTCCTCAGCACCACATAAGCAGATAAAGCCGGAAGTGGTGCTGTGGCTCAAGTGGTAGAGTGTTTGCCTTGATCTGAAGAGCTGAGGGACAGTGCCTAGGCCCAGCGTTCAGGCCCTATGACCGAACAAAAAAAAAAAAAAAAAAAAATTCTAGGAACATGGGTATTTGAAGAATTATTAAAAAAAAAATCTGTAGTGCCAGTAAGTAACATTTATATTATATTCCTTAAGTAATTTTAAATCTTTGTTCTTTTTGTTTTTTGGCCGCCATGGGGCCTGAACTCTGGGCCTGGGCACTGTCCCTCAGCTCTTTATCTGAAGGCTAGTGCTCTACCACTCGAGCCATAATGCCACTTCTGGCTTTTTCTGCTTATGTGGTGCTGAGGAATCGAACCCAGGGCCTCCTGCATGCAAGGCAAGCACTCTACCACTGAGCCACCTTCCCAGCCTCATAATTTTAAGCCTTTTTTTTGGGGGGTCCGGTCGTGGGGCCTGAACTCTGGGCCTGGGCACTGTCCCTCAGCTCTTCAGCTCAAGGCTAGCGCTCTACCACTTGAGCCACAGCAACACTTCTGGCTTTTTTCTTTTTGCTTATGTGGTGCTGAGGAATTGAACCCAGGGCCTTAGGCATGCAAGGCAAGCACTCTACCACTGAGCCACCTTCCCAGCCCAATTTTAAGTCTTGAGTGCAGATAATGGCCTTAGTTCCATCACTTGCATTTCTCATTGTTCTTTAAATGTGTATATTTATATTTAAGATTAGAAATGTTATTCCTAGAATATTTGGAACCCTAAATGAAAAACCCAAGACAAGAAAGTAAATTGGTTGATGTCTATGAAATAGTTTAACCTATTAATGAACTTTTTGCTTTTGATTGCCGAGGGCCACTCCTATAAAACAGTTCTCAGAAGGGTAGTTCTAACAAGGGGACTTTTACTCAGCCAGCTTTCAACAATACAAAACAGCTATTCCCTTGAAACTTAGGTTTATTACTCAACAGAATCCTACAGAAATGCACCAGTTAGAATAAGCAATGGCAGAACTGCATAGGATAGCACTATTAGGAAAACAGATTAAATAAATTCCTTATCCTGGTAAAAAGTACAGTTACTGTCTGATTTATCATGGTTATGTATGTTGAAAGTTGTAGCAAAGTAAAAGCATAATTAGAGATCTGAACCAATGGTCAGCGAAAGAATGGAGATTTAAATATTTATTTTAGAAATTTATGTTTCTACCCTGGTGTCAGTGGCTCACACCTGTAATCCTAGTTACTCAGGAGGCTGAGATTTGAGGATCTCATTTTTATTGTTGTTTTTGGGTCTGGTTGTGGGCCTGAACTCTGGGTCTGGGCACTGTCCCTCAGCTCTTCAGCTCAAGGCTAGTGCTCTACCACTTGAGCCACAGCGCCACTTCTTTTGGCTTATGTGGTGCTGGGGAATCGAACCCAGGGCCTCATGCATGCAAGGCAAGTGCTCTACCACTAAGCCACCTTCCCAGCCCTGAGGATCTCATTTGGAAGCCAGCCCTCAGCAGACAGTCCTGACTGATTTCCAGTTAACCAACAAAAAGCAGGAAGTGGAGGTGTAGCTCAAATAGTAGAGTGCCAGCCTTGAGAGAAAAAGCTAAGCAAGAGCATGAAGCCCTGAGTTCAAGCATTAGTAGTAGCAAACAACACAATACATAACCAAATCCTGATATTTCTGTGACTGAGAAAAGTGATTTTGCTGCTACTTGATAAAGTCAATGACAAAAGAGGCAGTGACAAGAGAAGCAAGAGCCTACAACGACTCAAGAATGGAAAAGTGGGAGCCTGAACTCTTAGATCAGCTTGTCATCTCCAGGTTGTTGAGTTCTAAATACAGAAAAGGAATAAATAAGAAATTGACTAGAGAGTGGAGGAATCTTTGTTTGTGTGTGTGTGTGTTTTTTTAAGTATTTTTTGGGGGGGTCCGGTCGTGGGGCCTGAACTCTGGGCCTGGGCTCTGTCCCTCAGCTCTTCAGCTCAAGGCTAGTGCTCTACCACTTGAGCCACAGCGCCACTTCCGGCTTTTTTCTTTTTTGCTTATGTGGTGCTGAGGAATCGAACCCAGGGCCTCATGCATGCAAAGCAGGTGCTCTACCACTGAGCCACCTTCCCAGCCCTCTTTGTGTGTGTTCTGAGAACAGTGAAGTTCTTCCAGCAACTTAGATGCTCTTTTATAGTCTGGTGTTTCTGGATGTGGTGCTGGTATTTGTCTTTAACCCAGGTGAGGACAAAAAAGAGAAAGACGAAGCAGAATTTCTTGTCAAGCATTTTCATGTTGTTCCAGCCACCTTATCAGGCATCTGCAGGTCTAGTGAAGAGTTGTGTTTTCAGCCCCAGTAGGCTTCAAAGCCTGAAAAAGTAACCTAGGCAGCTGTCAGCATTACAAATCACATAGCAGAGGTGCTACCCACAGCAACACACAAATAGTGTATGGCCTAGCTGTGTACCCTCCAAAATTATGGTGATTTTTGAGGCAACTAAAAAAAAATGAAGCTATAATTTATCTGTGGTGACATTTCCAGTTTACATCCTAGCAAATGGTGAGGGAAATTTACTTAACATTCAATTCCCAGATGTGCAATTTTTGTATTACTTACATTTTACAACTTGATTAGATCGTTAAATAATTTATTTGACCCACACAATGGCCTACAGCCTGTAAAAATAACTAATCTTTAACAATATTAACAGCTATATTAGATGGGGAAAGGTGTCACTAGTGTAAATTTCCATTAACATGTCTATAGAGATCGTATTAGAGGAAAACCTTTTAAGAATGTATGAAAAATAACTGTGGTTAAATCATTCAGATTACTTTTTAACTTTAGTAATGTATGATATACTCATTTATGGCATATTTATTTGTAACAGCCCAAAACTTTGAAGTCTATTAATTTTCCATTACCTAGTATGTGGTTAAGTGAATGGTGGTATATCATTACAATGTAGTAGTACTTAGCAATTAAAAAAATCGATAAACCCAGTAACAGATAAATCACAGTCATTATGCTATGTGAAACCAGAAATATGAGTCTATTTATATGAAATTTTGGAAAAGACGAAAGGTATGAGAGCTGGTGAATTTCATGGGGAATTTTTTTTTCTGTATTGTAAGATTGATGGCAGTAATCATGTTTTTATTTTTAAAATTTTATTATTTGTGTTTGGGTGTGTGCTGGTCCTGGGACTTGAACTTAGGGTCTATGCACTGTCCTTGAGATTTCGCACTCAACTGTAGTACTCTACCACTTGAGACACAGCTCCACTTTCAGCTTTTGTGTGATTAATGGACGTAAAAGTTTTAGGGACTTTCCTGCCCTGGCTGGCTTCCAACCAGATTCTTCAGAACTACCCAGTAGTTAGGATTAGAGACATGAGCCCTGGGTGCACAGCGATCATAGCATTTTTAAAGGGAGGAGGCTTTTTTCTTCTTTATATAAAGACTAAAAGATACAAGAGAAGCAAACTTTTCAGGGATAATGGTTATTGCGAGCATACATCAATAGACTCGTTAAAATGCACACTGCATGTACAACTATTAAAAAAAAAAAAGCAATCTAGCCAGCATGGCTTGGTGGGAGGGATTACTTCTGTAATTGCAGCTACTCTGGAGATGGGGATAGGAGGATGAAGATCCATCTAAAACCCCACAAGCGCCTACTCAAAAAATTGGAAGCAGAAAGACTGGGGTCGTGACCTCACAAGTCCGAGGTCTCGCCTTCAGTTCGAGGCCAGTCTGTCTGAAAACCTTAAGGGGTGGGCCGTGGAGACCGCGTGCTTGCTCCTCAGCCCCGGCAGGGAGAATGCAGCACGGTCGACGGAAAAGACTCGGACTCCCGTCTCGACACGGAACTAGGGATGACTTGTTTCGGGCCTGGGAGCTTGGCATCTTAACAAGGCGCAGACAGGTCTGTCTTAACCACCCATCTTCCCCTCTCCGTAAGGGAAGGTCCGGTCACGGGCGGAGAACCCGCGTCTTCCCAGGGTGGGGATCGGAAAAGCCCCGGCGGACGCAGCAATGACAGCAGCCCGCCAACGAACCCCAGGCGCTCCTCGCCATCCCGGAAGGAAGGCCTCGAGCCCACAACGCCTTCCTCCGGGCGGCGGCGCAGCACTACGACCGTAAACTCAAAGGGGAGAAGGACCGACGTGTCCGCCACCCAACCCATCAGGGACCTTTTGCCACCCCGGAAGTAGGGACGACGGGCCCTCACCGCCTCTAACTCGACGGAAGCTTCTCGCTTTGAGCTTGAGTGAAGGCAACAAAGCGAGGCATCATGGGATTCGCTCGTCTCTCAATACGCCTGCGCCAAGAGATCTCCACCAGCTCCAGGAAGTGACGGCGGCGAGAGATACACGTCAGCGAAGCCGGCCAATCCCCTGTATGCGCAGGCGCAGCCCTGGCAGCACCGGAAGCGCAGGGGGGTGGGGCGGCGTCGACGCGAATCTGTCCGCGTTGGAACGGGCGGGCCTCTGCTCGAGTCCCCGAGGCCGCCGTGTGACGTGGCACAGCAGGGCTCTTAACGCCTGGGCTGGGGCCGCCGCGCCAGTCGCCGAGCAGGTCCTTGCCCCGCTAACTCCGCTCCGGGATCTTCGTTCTCGACGCGCCGGGCTGCGGGCGGTCCAGCCGCTGGCTTTCTCCGCAGCTCGTTCTCTCCCCTTCCGCTCCTTTTATCGTGAGCGTGAAAGGAGAAGGCCCTCGGCCGCCCGGACCCCTTCTTGTGCCCATCGCCAAGTGCCACCACCGCCATGGGCCTCACCATCTCCTCCCTCTTCTCCCGCCTGTTCGGCAAGAAACAGATGCGCATTCTGATGGGTGAGTGAGGGGCTGGGAAGCGGAGGAGGGCCGGGTCTCTAGCGCGGGGGGCGGGGGGACCCCTGTTTTTGTCCTCCGCCGGCCGCGGTGGGGGAGGGGCCGAGGCTCCTGGAGGGGGAACAATGGGGGCGCGGGGTGGGCGACCGCCCCGTCGGCCGCCCGAGCGCCGGGCAGGGCTTCCTTTCTCCGCGCGCGGCTTTCCCTCCTTGGCCCGAGTGAAGGCCGGGGAACCTGGGGTGGAGGTGGAAGGCCGGCGAGCCGGCGAGGCCCCCGTGAGGGTGCGAGCCTCAGCCCGAGTGTGGGCGGCGGTCGGAGGGAGGCTGGCGACGCGAGCCCCCCCTCCCCCCGGTGTACGCTCCGTGCCCTCCACGTCGGTATGTGAGCGCGGGGCCGTGGCCAGCAGCGGCCGCCCGGACAGGAAGTGGCCAGGCCTGTGTCGTGGCGAGGCAGTCCCGAGCTGTGCGGACTCCGGAGCCCTCGAGTGCTCCTTCTGCTCCTCGCTGTGCGTCTGTCTTCATTGTTTTCACTTTTGTTATTTACGAGCTCGTCCCGTGAAGACGTGATCACGTCTCCGTTTCTTTTAGCCGTTTTCAAGAACTCTGAAATACATTGGACCGATGCAAGGTTTTTGTGCATTTGGTCGAAAGTTTCATTTAAAAACTTTGAGAAAACGAGTGTTTTACAAACCTAGAATTTTCAGCACCTGAACGGAACAATTTCAGGGTAGCATGATCAAATAATAACTAGAGTTGTTTAATCTTTCCAAAAGTAGAACGGTTTAAAAAAACTGTTCTCAAGGCCCCTCCTGTTTTTGCCAGCTCAGGCGAAGTCGCTTCTTTTTTTTTTTTTTTTTTTTAATTTTTTGAAGTCACCTCTTTAATGCTGTATTCTGTTCCTCACCGTTGAGCTGCATGGATCTGAAAAAAGAACTCCTCTTAACTTTCACCATTGAAACTTGTGTATTAGCTTGTTTTCTAGAGAATGAGGATAAAAGGGTTTATTTTTGGACTTGACTATTGTCAAAAGGAAGCTTCCATAATATTTCACAGTATAAGAAGAGCATGATTATACACATTTGGGTCTTGTTACATTTCATGATTCATGCACAACATTCATGACCATTCAAAATGTTTTATCTCTCAAAGTTTTCTCCGATTTCTGCTGTAAAGATGACAGAATTATTTTAGGCAGGCAGTCCTGTTATTTAAGCTTTAAGCAGCTAAAAATTTGCAGTCTGAAAAAGGACGTTAAGTCAATGGGAGGACTTTGGACTGTGAAAAATGAATTTCCAACAAGTTTCTTAGAGTTTAACCAGTACATGATTGTGTTCCTCAAGAAACGTATATGAATCTTTTAAGATTTATTGTAAATGAATGGTTATTTTCATAGTCTCTTGTGATGGCTAAAATCGTTAAGGGGGATGAAAGCGAGTGTGTGTGTGTGTGTGTGTGTGTGTGTGTGTGTGTGTGTGTGTGTGTGTGTGTGTGTGTGTGTGTGTGTGTGTGTGTGTGTGTGTGTGTGTGATGCTATAAACATCTTCCTATATTTACTAGTGAGGGAAACTTCCCTGTCCTTCCCTAACAATGGTTGGGAAAAAAATGGATGAGGACAAATATATAGCTTTTTCCATTTGTGTAAGAATAGAAGTTGTGCTTGTTCATTTTAAGTCAGATATTTTATTACTTGGATTTGCTGTTCTTATTTATCACTTTAATTCAAAGTAGTCACTTTTCCTTGGTTAAATGCACTCTAGTTACAAAACTCACATCTTTGCTAACTTACAGGAAGTGTAAACCTGATGGTGTGTGTGTGCATGTACAGGGAAAAGTGATTGTGAAGTTTGATAATTATAAGATTTTTAAAAATGTGGCCTTATGAAAGACAGCATAAATTATAGATGAATGTCTGCCCCATTCAAGTACTGGAGCTACAATCCATTCGTGATTCTTTCACAAAGATAAGTCAAAATTGCCCCAGATTTCCTCTATGAGAAGGACAGAATGATTTTATTCCTTCTGATTGATAGGTAAGTGCTCCATCCCTGAGCTACAGTACTAGTCCAGAATAATCCCTCCCACCCCCACATTTCATGAGTGTGCCTCTGTTTTCTTCTAAAACTAAGACAAAAATCTATTCTTTGTCTTCTTTAATAAATAGATTTTTTTTCCCCAGACTTTAGGGTTTCTTTCTTTTTCTTTTTTTGGTCCTGGGGATTGACCCAAAGAACATTTCCAGTGCCAAGTACATACACTTCTGATGTTTTACCTCTGGCCTTTTAACTATTTTAAAGTGTATTAATTAAGAGGTAGCATTAGCGAATATATCTGGTTTGCTAAAATGGAGAAATACATTTAGTTCCTGCACTAGCTTCTTTCCTAAAGTAATTAAAAAAGGTGGTGTTACATGTGACTGATAGTTAATCATAATTAGAAAAAATTAAAAATATTTTCAATGATTAATCAACAGAAATTATGTAATTATTTAGAAAGGGAAATTACTCATGTGAATGATGCTGAGTTTAAATTCAAGGACAACCAGTTTACATCTTAAGAGTTCTCATGTAGCCCTTTAGAAAACAATAGCTGTTCTGATTATCTTAAATGAGGTCCATGTCTGAGTCTGAGATAAGATATACTTTTGGCAAGTGAATTCTTAAATTCTGCTTTGTGAAAACTAATATGTTTTGCAGAAGAGTTACAAGTGATACCCTCTTGCCTGTAAAGCTGAACAGTGTTGCTTTCTGAAAATTAGTTGATACCAGTGAACTTCTGTATTGTCCTTATTGCTATGGTTTTGGGTCTGGAGAGGTTCAAGAAGAAACTGCTATTTGCCAACTTTAAAAATGCCAATATTTTAAGGGTAATTTCAAGCTTAACGGGTTTTATTTTTTCCCTTAGTATATATTTTGTAGATCCATTTATTAAATAGTTTTCATCTTGATTCTAAAAGGACCTTTTGTGAAATATAGATGTGAAAAGAATAAGGTAATAATTACTTGCATTATACTATTTCACTATTTTGTCCTATTGTCAACTTTTTAGTAGTTTTTCCTCTAGAATTGTAGTTGTGATAATAGTATGGTATTCTAAACTTCAAGCATGCTTTTATACCATTTTATTGAAAAGATAATTGCCAGACTTTTTTTTCTTAAATAGTCCTTTGATTAGTTACATGAATATAGGAAATAATGAAAAAGACACAATAATCAAGTTTGTGTCATTAGAAACTGAGAGATATAGCCATACTTAGATGGATCCTCTTGAATTCCTACAAGATAGCCTGTCAGAGACATTGATAGTTTGCTGCAAATTAACTCACTGGTAAAAGTAGAAATGTTCCTAAACTGTTGGATAAAAGCAAAACCTAAACTCATTACTTTATCTAAACCTGTTAACTTCAGTTTCATTTTGGGTGTTCAAACTTCTGAGGAATTATATTAAGATAAGTATGGCCTGCAGAAAAAAATGTAAAATGTTTTATGGGAATTTGATCAGTGATATACAGAGAAGCCACACTTTATTTTTGTTGGTCATGGGGCTTGAACTCTGGGCCTGGGCGCTGTCCCTCAGCTCTTCAGCTCAAGGTGAGCCCTCTTACCACTTGAGCCACAGAACCACTTCTGGTTTTCTTGTGGTTAATTGGAGCTAAGAGTCTTATGGCTTTTCCTGCCCCACACTTGCTTCAAACTGCAATCCTCAGATCTCAGCCTCCTGAGTAGCTAGGATTACGGGTGTGAGCCACTGGCACCTGGCTATTTTATTTTATATTTTGTTGTTTGTGGGGCTTGAATTCCTGATCTGGTGTTGTCCTTGAGCTCTTCAGCTCAAGGTGAGCACTCTACCTCTTGAGCCACAGTGCCACTTCCTGTCTTTTGGTAGTTAATTGGAGATGTGTCTCATGGGCTGGCTTTGAACCAGGATCGTCAGATCTCAGCCTCATGACTAGCTAGGAGCCACCGGCACCTGGCTCTAGAAGCCACATTTTAAGAGATCGAATTGGGAATCTTTATTTAAATTCTGGCATCTGCAAGATAGCAAGATCTGCAAGATAGTGTAGAAATACTACTTGAGAGGCATCAAATTTAGGATTGTTTTGTTTCAGTTAAGAAACTGAAAAACTTAGGGCTGGGAATGTGGCTTAGTGGTAGAGTGCTTGCCTAGTATGCCTGAAGCCCTGGATTCAATTCCTCAGTACCACATAAAAAGAAAAAGCTCAAGTGGTAGAATGCTATCCTTGAGCAAAAGAAGCTTAGGGACAGTGCCCAGGCCCTGAGCTGAAGCTCCAAGATTGGTTTAAAAAAAAAAAACAACAACCAAAAAACCCTGAAAAACTTAGTTTACATACCATCAAGTGTACCCTAAATGTACTATATACATACACATATGTATATTATGTATATATTTACAAAGTTACATGATAATCACCACTGTTTTCTAGAATATTTACAACTTTGTCAAGAAAAAGTCTTATAACTCTTTAGCTGTTACTTTTAGCAAATAATCTACTTTTCTGGACATTTTATTTAATATATAGTTTAATGTGTGAATTTTTACTTGGTATAATGTTTTCTAAATTCTATTTTATGGGGGATAATAATTCCATTTTATGGATAATAGCACATTTGTTTATTCAGTCACCAGTTGATGGAGATTGTGTTCTTTTTTTCTACTTTTTGGATCTCATGAATAATCCCATGGTGAACATTTGTGAACAAGGTTTTGTGTGAGCATGTGTTTTTAATTGTACTGAGAAAATAAATACTTAGGAATGGAATGAATGGGTCTTATGGCATTGTGTTTAACATTTTGAGGATCTAACAAGCTATTCTCCAATGTGGCTGTAATGTTTTACATTGTTTTACATTAGCTACTGGTTGGTGCCTGGCTGAAATTAAGAAAATATGTTTTCAGGTTGTTTTAGAAAAATTGAGTGCTGAAGGAACTTTAGGGGATATAGCTCAGTGGGAGAGTACTTGCCTACTATGGGTGAACTTTACGGTTCCACCTCCAGCACTGAAAAACAAAGGAAAATCTGTCATTTTACTCATCTGAAAACAATTTTTTTTTCCAGATTTTTTTTTTTCCTTTTTCAAGGTTGAGGTAATTGCATTTGGTTCTTCACTTTCTGCACTGCAGTAGTTTGATAGACATGCTCTTTACGCGTTTGCAAAGATGATTCATTCAGGTGGTTTTGCTCAGAGTATAGACCTACTTAAGGAAAACAGGTAGTGATTCCAATATGTCTGAAGACATTGGCTTGTTTGTTCAGTAGGGGGGAAGAACACACTGGACTGTACAGATTAGTCTTATCTGGGCTGGTTGAGAATTGGTATGGTCTTTCGTTGTAGAAAGAAATCTCATTGCCAAACATTGCAACATTAAGGAAATACATGCTTAAGAAATGACTATAAAGAGGCACAAAATTGTTAGACCAACTGTTTTAAACAGTGAGTTTTAAGTGATGGTGGTTATATAGATAGCTTTTTGGTAGTAATTAATTGGAGATAAGAAAGACTCTTAGAGACTTTCCCGCCAAGACTGGCATGGAACCTTGAGCCTCAGATCTCAGAGGCTACTCAGTCTCTTGAGTAGCTAGTATTACAGGTAAGAGCCAGTGCCACCTAGCAGAGATAGCTTTTATGTGGCCGTGAGACATTGAATCTTGGTCTTGTAGTTTTAATTTATAAAATAATTTGTTGATGCTTAAAAGGGATTTTGGTTATATTATTTGTAAATGCTTCCTTTAAAAAATGAAAAATCTGCAGAGGTAGCTCAGTGGTAGAGCTCTTGTCTAGTGCATATGCTCTAAAGCAATGCAGAAAAAAAAGTAAGACAGAGACCCTAAAGCAGTAATTTTCAGAAAGATGCTTTACACAATGTAACCAGCCCAATATTTTGATAAAAGAAATGCACTTGAATTTTTTGTAAATGAAAGAAATACATATCTAATTGGTAAAATTCTTTCAATAGAGTATTGAACTATTAGGATGCATCCAAAGGCTGATGTTTAGCTGAGTTCTGTTCAAGCAGGAATAGAATTTATTTAAAGAAAATATGGATTACTGACATTCTTTTCTGTCAAGTAGTTATGTAAGCATGATTTGTCTTGGATTTCTTCCATGCTTTGTCAATATTTTTGGATTTATGTTGTTTTTAACTGGTGGTATGATGTTTTGATCATCTACAATGAGGACTGGTGCCATCTGAAAACCTGACTCAAGTGAGTTTGTTTTGTTTTCCTAATTAGCATCTCACTTTGCATTCTGACTTGGTTTACTTAAAAATTTGATCAGAATCAACATAGGTTTTTATACTCTGAGGAGATGTAGCCCTGTAGAATGAAAGATGTGATTTTTCTTTTGCCCTAATTACCTTTTCTTTTCGGTATTTCTCTGAACATCTTAACAGTGATTTATTTTGATATATAGCAAAGTTAGAGAGAAATGGAAGAGACAGATGTTTCTTGTTCCCATGGGAATTAAAAGACTCCTGCCTTTTTTTTTTTTTTTTGCCTGTTGTGGGGCTTAAACTGTGGGAATAGGTTGCTCAAAGATAGTGTTCTCCCCCTTGAGCCATAGCTCGTGTCTGGCTTTTTAAATGATTAATTGGATAAGAGTCTCATGGACTTTCCTGCCCATACTGGCTTTGAACCACAATCCTTATTAGATCTTAGCCTACTGAATAGCTAGAATTGCCAGGTAGGAGCCTCCGGTGTTTGGTGACTCCTGAATTTTTAAATTATTTTTTTGCTGATACTCAGACTTGAATTCAAAGCCTTGCACTTTCGTGATTTTTTTTTTTTTTTTTGTGGCGGTCGTGGGGCTTGAACTTTGGGCCTGGGCGCTGTCCCTGAGTTCTTCAGCTCAAGGCTAGCACTCTACCACTTGAGCCACAGTGCCACATCGAGTTTTCTGGTGGTTAATTGGAGATAAGAGTCTCATGGACTTTACTGCCTGGGCTGGCTTTGAACTGTGATCCTCAGGTCTCAGCCTTTTGAGTAGCTAGGATTACAGGTGTGAGCCACCAGGCTCCTGGCTTCAAAGCCCTTTCAATTGTTTTTTTTTTTTTTTGGGTCTGGTCATGGGGCCTGAACTCTGGGCCTGGGCGCTGTCCCTCAGCTCTTCAACTCAAGGCTAGCGCTCTACCACTTGTGCCACAGTGCCACTTCCGGCTTTTTTTCTTTTTTGCTTATGTGGTGCTGAGGAATCGAACCCAGGGCCTCTGGCATGCAAGGCAAGCGCTTTACCACTGAGCCACCTTCCCAGCCCCCTTTCAATTGTTTTTTTCTGTTCACACATATCACTCTACTACTTGAGCCATGCCTATCATCCTGCATTTTGTTTTTTGTTGGTTATTAGAGATAATCTCTTTAGACTTTTATCTCCCCAGTCTGCTTTTGAACCTTGGTTCTTAAAGTCTTAGCTTTCTAAGTGGCTAGTATTACAGATGTGAGCTGCCAGTACCCAGCTTCATTTTTTTTCTGTATTTTTGCTAGATATCATACTCCGAAGTATATTTGTCTATTTTTTTTTCAAATTATGTTTTTTTATTTTTTTTTTCCTGTGGTGGTGTTGGGGAATCAAACCCAGGATGTTATAACTGCTTTCTTTGCTTTCCCTTTTTCTCTTTTTAAAAATAATTTTATTATCCTTAAGTAGTTGTGTAGGTTCCTTGGTTGCCATTAAACAAAGCAGTTTATGAAAACAGTGCATCTTGATCAATGTCACTCCTTCCTTTTTCTTTTTTAGCAGTATTGGTCATTGAACCCAGGGCCTCATGCTAGCTAGGAAAGTGCTCTACCACTGGGTGCTCTACACCCAGTTTTTCTTATGCTCATGAATGAGGGTTTTGGAGTAGACTAGTGCTTATAATAGTGTTTTGGAAAGAATAATCCTGTATCTTTATATAAAGAAGTAAGAGGGAACAGGGCTTGATTGAAATCACAGGAATAATAATCATTTATTTAAGAAAAAAAATAACAGGTTGCTGGTGGCTCACGCCTGTAATCCTAGCAACTCAGGAGGCTGAGGTCTAAGGATCGCAGTTCGAAGCCAGCCCAGGCAGAAAAGTCACTGAGACTCTTATCTCCAGTAAACTGCACAGAAAAAGCTGGAAGTGGCACTAAGGTTCCAGTGATCGAGTGCTAGACTTGAGCAAAAGAAACTCAGGGACAGCGCCCATGCCCCAAGTTTATGCTCCAGGACTGGCAGGAAAAAAAAAAAGACAAAAAGTTTAAGTTATATACAACACATTGCGCACTCTCAGGTCTGAGGGCCTTTTCTGTTTTTACTAAAAGGAGTGCCAACCTTCACCTTTCATACAGTACCTCCAGAGAGATCTTAAAGCCACCCTTCATAGGATATAAAATAGAAAAGACTGCTACATTGGTGAAGGAGTCTGACTTTCTTGCAGCTTTCTGTTCTCATTGTACTGATAAAAGTTAAACTTACTTGCATAGGAATGTAAACTAGATAAGTGTTCTCAGTTCCTTTTAAAGCTTGTTAGCATTGCTTTCATGTATTAAGTCATACTTTTAAGAGGGTGTCTGCTTAAGTCAATTCTCAGTTGAAGGAGGCTGAGATCTGAGGATCACCATTTGAAGACAACAACCAGAACACTAAAGTCTGTGACACTTATTTCCAGTTAACCAGCAGAAAACCAGAAGTGAAGGTGTGGCTCAAGTGGTAGAGTGCCAGCCTTGAGTGAAAATGCTAAGCAAGAAATTGAAAGGCTCTGAGTTCAAGCCACAGTACCAACAAAACAAAACTCAGTTGAACTGGTTTTAACTTTAACAAGTGTGATAAAACTAAATGTAAGCAGTTAAATGTGATATCCTTTAAAAAGTGATTAATTCAATGAAGCTGTTACACCATTTATGAAGGACCTAGCATTCTGTAGATTATACAGTCATATTAAAAGTACTTAATTTGTTATTCACTATGGCTGTAATAAAGAACTTGCCCTGCTCTAGTCTTTTTTTTTTTTTTTTTGCTCCAGAAATAAATACCTTTCTTCCTAATACTTCTCTGCTTCAAATAAGTTACTTTAAAAATTAAGACATTTGAAATGGAGAAGAATATGGTAGGATCATTTTTACAAAACATCAACTAGACTTGTGTTTCTACTTCTCTACAGATGATGTTAAATGGCTTTAGGTAGGGGAAGAATATTTTTTTTTATTTACTATCATTGTAACATGCATAAGGCATAGTTACATTTTTCCTTTAGCATCAAGACCATTTACTCAGTTTGCTATGTACATAAAAGGAAGATTAGCACTGGAGGCATGGCTCAAATGGTAAGGCACTTGCCTCACAAATGCAAGACACTGAATTCAAACCTCATACTGTTACAGATAATGACTGAATAAATATATAAATAAATGGAGAATTAAGTGTAGGATTCATTTGCTTTAGGTGTTTGTTCTTTGATTCACTTTGTGTTGTGTTAAAATTAGTGGTATTTCATAGACTTAGTACAACTTGAGATGGGAGCGATCTTGGCTATTTAACCTAATCCTTTGTTTTTGTGGCCATTTTTTCTCAGGTCTAGGGGTGAGGCCCTTTGGCTGAGATCAAGTGTATAGTGTGTATCTAACATGAGCAAGGACCTGGGGGCTTGTAATACTTACATGTACTGCACATATATACATTAATTGAATAAACAAGGCACTGAACTAATTTGTGGCAACACTAGAGATTAGAGCCTGAATCTTTTCCTTCTCCACTAGTATATGTTGTTTAGATCTAGAAAGAAAAATGGAAAAGCCTTCATGTAGGAAGTATTTCCGTGGGGAATCAGAAATGAAAGAATTTCATTTTTAACTTGTATTCATGCTGCAGGCAGACAACTTTTAGTTTAAAACTATCAATTACTGCAAAATTTTTTACTGTGTAAACTTTGGTCCAAATTTTAAATCTCTATAATATCTTCTTCTAGTTGGATTGGATGCTGCTGGTAAAACGACCATTCTGTATAAACTGAAGTTAGGAGAGATAGTCACCACCATTCCTACCATTGGTAAGAAATTTACGGACTTTATAAATAAATATAATAAAAATAGATGTTAATAAAAATTGACAATTTGAATTTGAATTATTGTTAAGCTTGTTCATTATCTTAGTAAACCTTAAAAAGAAACTGTTCTAGGAAAATAATAAAAAGGTTTATTTTCACAATGAATTATTATGCACAATGGTCATTTTTATTTTATTTTTTTTATTTTCCCTTAGGTTTTAATGTAGAAACAGTAGAATATAAGAACATTTGTTTCACAGTATGGGATGTTGGTGGTCAAGATAAAATTAGGCCTCTCTGGAGGCATTACTTCCAGAATACCCAGGTAAGGAGTGGTAATATAGCTTTTTATAATTTTCCTTTATGGATTTTATGCTTAGCTTCATATTAATATTTAGCATTGACTTGGATGTTAATGTTTATTATATGAGCCCTCATTTTTTCACTGCTCCCCTATATTATTTAGTGCATTATCACTAAAGAGTTGAATAGTCATACTTGTAAGATTTTGGAAGATAAAGTGTGATGGGTACTAAAAGAATTAATTAGGTGGTACTGGGTTTGTTGGCCCATGCCTAGAATCTCTGGACTAGGAATACTAAGGCATTTGGATGGTATGTTCCAGGCTAGTGTTGTCCTAGTGTTAAGTCTTAGTTTAAAAAAAAAGAAAGAATTGGGCACATCTGTTATACCTGTAGCCCCACCTACTCAGGAGGTAGACATTTTGGAAGGATCATGGTTTAAAGCTTAGCCTGGGTAAAAAGTAATTTAGAAAGTAAGATGTATGTAACTTTCTGACTATAGACATTTGCAATGTATTTCAAATAGTGATAGACCTTGATTTAGCCTAGTTAAATTTATTTTATTTGAAAATACATTAAGGTGAATTTATGTATGGTTGTAAGATATTATTATCTAGTATATACAATAGGGGTATAAAACAGACCTTAGTGATCCTGCAGATTTGGCGTCCTCTAGTTAGGCTGTATATTAGAACTACATGGGGAACTTCAAAAATCCCATACCCCCAAGCATAGCCAAAGACCATGTGAATCAGAAACTCTGGGAATGTAAAGTCAAATACCATAGTGTATCTCACACTTCAGTGTGTGTATGTATGACTTGGGCATTTATTAAAAATAGAGCTTGATTCAGTTGGGCATGGCTAAGGCCTGAGAGTCCGTACTCCAGCAAGTTCTCTGATGGAGCTGATACTGGGATCTTACAATAGCAACCCTATTATTGTTAGGCTTTGGGGAGGCCTCTCTTGTATTGTGGGCTGTTTTACATCATCCTCATCCATTGTTACTAGATGCCAGTAGCTGTTATTCCCAACCTACTTGTTTGGGCAAAATTACTTCCTGTTGAGAACAATTGTTGGTCAACTGTTTCTGAGGAAACTGAAGCTTGTAATGACTTTGGGAAAGGCGTGTTTTTTCTGGGTTACCTGGCCTCAATTCTGGTATCTTTTTCTACCACCCCAGAGGTTACTTGTCAGTTTTTGTTTACTATTAAAGTCAGCAGCTTACTAAACACTTGATGTATTTGAGATTTTCAGTGTTCTACTTGTTCTCCAGTACTTCAGATTTTGAGTATAATAGAAGTACATTTGTCACCAGTGACAGTGAATACACTAGTTAAATGTCTGGTTAAAGTTAAATATATTAAAAATGAGAATGTTTATGTCCATTAACATTGCTTCATTAGAAAAGAGATTTTGATATATGAGTTTCTACTAAAAAAAATCTTGATTATGGAAATAGAGACTAGTGTAAAAAATTCCTCAGTTATTGTGGGTAGGCAGTATCTAATCGATACTCTTATCTCTAATATGCCCACCTTTCTGGATTATAAACAAAAGCACAAAACAGCTTGTTAAGTGGTTAATAGTAGGTCTTAGGTATTAAAAATGCTATTTAATAAATTGCTTTAGTATAAAAATAAATTTTAATAAAACATGTTAATCTTTAATCTGTTGTTGGTTTTCTGGTTGAGAGTTTTATACTGTTCCATTTGAAAGATTTTCAGAAAAGCCTTAATTCACCTACTGTCTCCTAGTCCCATCTCTTGTAGTTCAGCATTCTAATATTTGTTAATATTGTTAAAGTTGCTACTATCTTTTTGGTAAGAATTTTTTTATTTGATCAAGTGAACCTTGAGATACTTTGCTTAGGAAAATCACTTGGTTTTTCTGATTACAGAACTGACAGCAACATTCTGAAGTAAGGCTGGTTTTCTTCCATAATAATATATATGAAACTATTGGTGTACATAAAGCCCTGCAGTTGTTTTTACACGTTGTTTCTATCTTTTCCTGAATGAATTACATAGTTCATGATACTTTAGGATAGCTTGTTGATTTTTTTCTTTTGTCTTCACTTAGTAGCTGTTTTGCTACTTAAATTTATCTATACTTAAATACAGTAGAGATAAGAAAAGGGAAAAATTATCATTCTTAGTATAATGGAGAAAAGTAAGGAATGAGTGAGATTTGTTTTTTTTTTTTAAGATTTGAAACAGTTAAAAATCACACAGTGCTCAAATCAGTTTTAAATAATCGTCATTTTGACTTTTTCTACCCAATACCTTTCTTTGATACTATCTACCATTAGTATATTTCATATTTATTGTGTCCTTTAATTTTAACTTATAATTTATTGAAAAAACTTTTCCTTAGGGTCTTATTTTTGTGGTAGACAGCAATGATCGTGAAAGAATTCAGGAAGGAGCAGATGTGTTGCAAAAAATGGTAAGTATATATTTTAAACTTATTATTTTCAAGATGTGTTTTTCTAAGCTAGGCACCACTGGCTCATACTTGAAATCCTTAGCTATTTTGGAGGATGATTTAGGGCAGGAGCCTAGTTCCAGCCCAGCCCATGCAAAAAAGTTTGAGACCACTTCGCAACCAGTAGTAGTGCGATATATTGGCTCAAGCCTATCATCTTGCCTTATGAGAAATGGGCATAGGAGGATCTTGGCCAAGAATGTTCCTGGGCAGAAGTGATATTCTGTTTCAAAAATAATCTGCAAAAAAAGGCTGGAGGTGTGCTTAATGGTTGTGCACCCTGTTAGCAAGCATGTGGCTTGCTAACTCCAGTATATCAAAAGAGGAAAAAAAGATTGTTTTTCTCAATAATAATGGTGGATAGTAGTTGATAAATATTTTCAGGGGAAGAAGCTATTTCATTCATGGATTTTTTTTTTTTTTTTTCTTTGCCAGTCCTGGGGCTTGAGCTCAGTGCCTGGCACTGTCTCTGAGCTTCTTTTGCTTAAAGCTATTACTTTACTAGTTGAGCTACAATGCCAATTTGCCTTTTCTGTTTATGTGGTACTGAGGAATTGAACCCAGTTCTTCATGCATGCTAGGGAAGCACTCTTCTGCTAACCCATATTCCCAGTCCAATATTCATGGGTTCTTAAGAATGTACATAAGTCTTCTATTTATTTAATTGGTGCCAGAGCTGGAGCTTGATAAACATATGATTTACCACTCATATCTGCTTAGCAACACATCAGCCTCTTTAATATAGAGCTTTTAAAAGACATTATACAGAGTAAGTCTAGAATAAACCAATCCTGTCTTTTTAGACTGTTCCCCGAGTAATTTTGTTATGTATCTCTGATTAAGGTAGTCTGATATAGTCCAGTCCCTTATTATATTTTACAAATAGAAAATTTATAGTATTTTTTACCTGGTAATCCTAGTTCAAAGATGGTTCCCAAGGCCTAGGGTTCAATTTTCTTACTGCTGTGCTTATAATCACTTAGAACGTGTTTTGTAATAGCAAATAATTCTGTCAGAAAGTAGTGATGATTTCATCAACTGTGGCACTTTAGCCTTGTCATATTGAATTACCATTTTTATGTATTCATATTCTTTTTTTTTGTTGTTGGTTGTGGGGCCTGAACTCTGGGCCTGGGCACTGTCCCTCAGCTCTTCAGCTCAAGGCTAGTGCTCTACCACTTAAGCCACAGTGTCACTTCCGTGATTTTCTGCTTATGTGGTGCTGAGGAATCGAACCCAGGGCCTTATGCATGCTAGGCTAGCACTCTACCACTGAGCCACCTTCCCAGCCCTGTATTCATATTCTTAAAACTTTTGAAGTAATGATAGCCTGGTGCTGATGGTTCATGCCTATAATCCTGGCTACTCAGAAGGCTGAGATCTGAGGATCAAGGTTCAAAGCCAGCCCAGGCCAGAAAGTCTGTGAGACTTATCTCCATTTAACCACCAGAAAACTGGAAGTGGAGTTTTGGCTCAAAGTGGTAGAACACTACCTTGAGCAAAAGCTCAAGGTCAGCGCCCAGGCCCAGAGTTCAAGCTCCATGACTGACCAAATAAAAATGTTTTTTGAAGTGAAAAAGTCATTTAGGAAACTATGGTTTCAAAGTTGTGGCCATGAAATGTTTGCTAAAATGAAATCACACTACTTATTCATTGTTTCTGTGAGGCACACAAAAAAATTTTGCTATATTGTGTGTTACCAAGTCACTGCTAGCTTTTTACCCATTGAGTAAAGTATTGCCAACTCCTATTTTTTTATATTTTGAGATATTCAAAATTATACCATAAATATCGCTCATTGAAAATGTGCAGTTCATTAGTTTTCAGTAAACAAAAGTTTTATAGTCATCACCACAATTTAATATTAAAATTTTTATTTCCCCCAAAAAGAAATCTTGGAACTATGAGCAGTCATTCCTCCATTCTACACACCACTGACCTTTAACCTAGTACTTGTCTCACTAAAATAATTTAATCTTGATTTTATAGGAATGCAATCAGAATATGCAATCTTTTGTGACCAGCATTTTTTTCTTATAACCTTTCAAAGTTCATCTATGTTGGATCATGTATCAGTTATTCCTTCCAGCTTTTATCTAGTAGACTGTATCTATTGGATTGAATTACTAATGGCTTAGTAACTTTAGTATTTATCTCATTATGAAGCCCAGCTGACTAGAATGGATGAAAGTCCAGAAAGCAATAATTTAAATACTTTGGATACTAACCATCATAAAATCCGACCTGAAACACTTTATTCCAATTTGTATTGGACCTGACTTTGGAGGAAGGACAAATGAGTAAAGTATCTCAATGGGGGGCAGGAAAATTAGCTTGAAAATATAGTTTTGCCGTTGGATAAAGGGGTGTACACACCTGCAATCCTAATCCTTACACTAGCAGGAGAAATGGTATTTTGAGGCTGTTCCTGTCTCAAGAAATTAAAAAGCAAAATAAAACACCAACCAAGAGACAGTTTTGCTTTTCTTGAAGGCATCTTATTATTTGCTCTGAATTTTAAAACTGAAGGATATGAGCATTTAAGTTGTAAAAAAGGACGTGAAATTTACTTACAAAATTTTGTTTGATGGGCTGGGAAGGTGGCTCAGTGGTAGAGCGCTTGCCTTGCATGCATGAGGCTCTGGGTGCGATTCTTCAGCACCACATAAGCAGGGGAAAAAAAGCCGGAAGTGGCGCTGTGGCTCAGGTGGTAGAGCGCTAGCCTTGAGCTGAAGAGCTGAGGGACAGCGCCCAGGCCCAGAGTTCAGGCCCCACGACCGGACCCAAAAAAAAAATTATTTTTTTGGTTGATGTTTATTTAATGTTAAATAATAGGAAGAGAGTGTTTTAAGTAGTTAGTTACTGTCAATTTGGTATTTGCTAATATTTTAACCTTTTATTTCTAGCTTTTGGAAGACGAGCTGCAAGATGCAGTCCTGCTGCTTTTTGCCAACAAACAGGATTTACCAAATGCTATGGCCATCAGTGAAATGACAGATAAATTAGGTCTTCAGTCTCTTCGTAACAGAACAGTAAGTATTTAAAGGTTGATACTAACCTGTTAGAATTATTTGTGTAATTATTTAAACTAATAATCAGTTTAAACATAATTAATTTTAATAAACAATGAGTATATCATTTATAAAAAGATATGGTAATATTTTCTCTTGCTTACACAAAAATCAGTCCTTTCAGGATTTACTTCAAAGCTTCTTAAGTTTTGCTTTAAATTGATTCCTTCTTTTGATATGTACTTTTAAGGATCCAAAGGGGTATGTGTGTTTATGTATATTATATATGTACAATGCATCTTTTTAAAAATTATATTTTTATTATCGTTAAGTAGTTGTACAAAGGAATTACCATTCAACAAATCAGTTTATAAGTACATTGTATCTTGAATGATGTCACCCCTTTTATCATCATCATCATCATCCTCATCCCTCCTAACCTAATCCTTCCCCTCAGTTTTCTTTTTTTTTTTTTTTTTTGTCGGTCGTGGGGCTTGAACTCTGGGCCTGGGCGCTGTCCCTCAGCTCTTCAGCTCAAGACGAGCGCTCTACCACTTGAGCTACAGCGCCACTTCCGGTTTTCTGGTGGTTTATTGGAGATAGGAGTCTCACGGTCTCTCCTGCCCGGGCTGGCTTTGAACCGCGATCCTCAGATCTCAGCCTCCTGAGTAGCTAGGATTACAGGCGTGAGCCACCAGCGCCCGGCTTCCCCTCAGTTTTCTTAATTTCATAGGATGTGCATTGAATATTATGACTGCATTCTCTCTCCTCTCTTCATCTACTGCCCTCCCTGGACTTCCCACCTATACTTTATTGATTTTTGTCTTTTGTATTGTAAAGATGTGGGAAGCATGTAAAAATTACTGATATTTTTAATGTTAATTTTGTACCTTTTAAATAGATTTATAGAAAGTATTGTGTAATTTGATTTTCTGTGACAGGTTCAGTATTTAGCAGTTATATTCCAAATAATACCATTTAATACTGTTTGCTTGTTTTGATATGAAAAGCTGTGGAAGGATCTCTAAAGTTAATATTATGATTTGAAGGTATTTTGAATATAGAATTGTAAGAAATATTGTCTACATATATTTCAGTTATTCATATGTAAAGAAGGTATCAGAAGCCAATAATACTATGCTTTATAATAGTTTTGTATTAACTTGTCAACAAGCAAATACTATTTTGTATAGCCTACTGGAGATGTTCCAGGGTGATCTGAACAAGATAAACTATGGTTTTTCTCTTTTTAATTGATGCATATTATACAAAGGAATTTCATTGTGTTATTTCTATTCATGCATATAATGTCCTTTGATCAAATTCACCCCCCCCTTCCAATTACTGTTTGTTATCTTCCTCAGAACGTTTAAGAATAATTTTTAACAGGTTTTATTTTCATACATGGTATGAAGTACTTTGATCATATTCACTGTTTATTAAGTTTTCAATGTGAGTTTATGCCTTTCCTTTCCTTCTTGGTTATTGGGATGTTAGATGTTCAAATAATAATTAGCAGTATTATATATCTATTTAACAGCTTTGCAACATTAAGGTTTCTAATCTAAGACAAAACAAAACTGGTTCTGGTGGCTCACACCTGTAATCCTAACTACTCAGGAGGCTGAGATACATGGATCAAGGTTTAAGCCAGTCTGGGCAGGAAAGTACACGTGACTCTTTGCTCTAATTAACCACCTCAAAGCTGGAAATGGAGTTGTGGCTAGAATGCCAGTCTTGCACAAAAAAACTAAGGGACAGGGGTTTAGGAATGTGGCTTACTGGTAGATTGCTTGCCTAGCTTGCGTGAAGCCCTGGATTCGATTCCTCAGTACCATATACATAGAAAAAGTCCAAAGTGGTGCTGTGGCTCACATGGTAGAGCACTAGCCTTGAGCATAGAGAGGCTCAGGGACAGTGCCCAGGCCCTAAATTCAAAATGCCAGGACTGGGAAAACAAAAAAAAACAAAAAGCTAAGGGACAGCACCTAGGTCCTGAGGTTAAGCCTCAGTACTGGTACAAAAACAAGCAAACAACCCTGGCCAATTAAAAAAGAGAACTAAATTGCTTTTTTTATTGCTTTTCTTTTTTTTTTAATAACTTAAAATTTCTTACTTCTTATACAGTTTACTTAGAGATAAGATTAATTGCCATGTTAAAAAAATTACTTTAGAATGTGAGAGCAATGTTAGTGAAATTATCTGAAAAGTTTAACCCTACAATCCAGGCAAACCCTTCTGTTTCATAACCTTTCTGAAAAGTTCAGAACATTTTTTTGCTTTTTCTCAGGTGAAAATGTGGCTCAGTGATAAGATTGCTCGCCAGCATGTGTGAGCTTTTTGGTGCAATCTCCAGCACTGAGAAAGAAAAATTGACTTTTCCACTTAGTTTTATGGGGAACAAGAGGATTGTAAGAACCCAGGAGGGTAGCCAATTAGGGATTCCCCCTTGACTCTTCTTAGATTAAATGGTGGCAAGTTGACCAACTCAAATGAACAGGTGGATATACATTAAGGGGTTTATGAGAACCAGCAGGTATTAGAAAATTGTCAAAGGGTTGAGAATGTTGAGAACGTTGAGTGATCTTTAATTTTTTTTTTTTTTTGGGTCCAGTCATGGGGCCTGAACTCTGGGCCTGGGCGCTGTCCCTCAGCTCTTTAGCTCAAACTTAATGCTCTACTACTTGAGCCACAGTGCCACTTCCGGCTTTTTTCTTTTTGCTTAATGTGGTACTGAGGAGTCGAACCCAGGGCCTCAGGCATGCAGGGCAAGCGCTCTACCACTGAGCCACCTTCCCAGCCCCATGTTGAGTGAGTTTTTTTTTTTTTTTTTTTGGTCCGGTCGTGGGGTCTGAACTCTGGGCCTGGGCACTGTCCCTCAGTTCTTTAGCTCAAGGTTAGTGCAAGGCAAGAGCTCTACCACTGAGCCACCTTCCCAACCCCATGTTGAGTGATCTTTATAGTTACTGAGCCAACTAAATATAAAATCAGCTTTGTGAGATGTAATAAATTAGCTTATCTCTTCACATTTATTCAAGTGGCTTCATAGTTACTTTGGGCATTTATGGAGAAATATTTAAGTTTTTATCCAGGAAGTTTAAACTTGTGGTAATGTATTATCTTACTAATCAAGTATTTTCTTGTCCTTTTTTTCACAGTGGTATGTCCAAGCCACTTGTGCTACCCAAGGAACCGGTCTGTATGAGGGACTTGACTGGCTGTCAAATGAGCTTTCAAAACGTTAAATGAAACTGGATATCTAACCAAGGACATATGTGATAGAATTGGTCTAGGCTTGTTACAACAAAATTAGTTTGCATCTTGGTTATTAAACAGTATCTGAGACTGGTTTGGGCACACTATTACAGCCTTTAAAACTTGTTTTGTTGCCAATTATTGTCTACCAAGTATGGTATTGCTCTTAAGCAATATGCTTGGTTTTAAAAGAAATTCTCCTTGGGGAAAAAAATAGTATCTTTTAAATTTTACTTCCCTTATGCCTAAATGCCTGGACATAGCTAATGTGACACCTTTAAATTAAATCTGTTTTTTGAACCTACCACAAATAATGTTTTAAAGTTATCCCCTTGCTACTCTACCAGTATCTTTATCATTCCTAGGGCAGTCTGCTGATTTAAAAATGTAGCATTCCATTTGTATTTATTTCTATCCCTTGCCAAAAAAGGTTTTTTAATACTGCTTGTACCATCCAGGGAACTACTCCAAAACACTATTCAGTCTTGCACTGAGGAAATTTTTTTCTCCCTATTATTGACTTCTGGCCTCTGTCAGCCAAGCTTACTTTGATGTGGCTTGGATTTGATAGTTAATTCTGTGCTGGTTGCAAAGAGTTCATATTAGATGTTTTATAACAGTCAGCAGATTGTCTTCCTTTATATTGTTATCTTTTTTATGTTGCATGTTGCTTTTGGTATCAGCCTGACTCTTTGCCCAGTATATGGTAGTTCTAAACGCTGATGTTTTATTGTTTTTTGGTGAATATATCTTCCTTAAGAGTTTTTGGAAATTTCATCAAACTCAATGAATAAATTTTCTTCATAACCCATTTGGAATTATTCCTAATAAAATGATAAAATACATCATTGTGTGTTCTTTTTGAGCTTTGATGATATTTGAAATGGATTTTCTTACATAACAACGTTGATTTGCATTATTGTATATACTGTGGCCCATACTACAAATCCCAGGTTGCTGATTAAGATGAGAATACATTATATTATAGGTTATCATAAGACTGGGTTGCAGCATTCCAAAGCAATGTTTGTTTCATAGCTAAAACTAAACATTTTTTTCTCAGAGTGCTATTTATATGGTAGAATATATACACTGTTAAGGGATCTTACTTTACTACAAAGAAGATCAAAATCTCCTAGTACTTTTTAACTTCTCAAATTTTAGAATTCCAATAGAAAGCTGCATGTGGCTAATTCTGTTAAGTCAATAAAAGTACACTCCCATTAACCACATCTTAAGTCACTAAGTACTCCACTTGATAAATTTGAATTTTTGTCTATATTCTAGTTGGGTTTCAGTTATTGTAAACTTTACCTTTTTTTCTGTTTTATATATATATATATTTTTTTTGGGGGGTGGGGTACCTGTCCTGGGTTTGAACTGAGCTTGATTGCTGTCCCTAAGCTGGTTTTACTCAAGGCTAGTGCTCTACCACTTGAGACAGAACTCCACTTCCAGTTTTTGGGTGGTTGGAGATGACTAATTGGAGATTTACTACAGGGATTAGAAAAGATTTGCAAAATAGCCTTTTATTTTTAAAGTTTTTTAAAAAGCATTTTCTTGGTAACCTGGTGGATGTTACCACTTCTCAAAATTACTTTTCTTCTAGCCTCATAGTATTAAAATTAAACTTCTCAATGGAGAAGTTTTACTATGTTCAAAGAGAAATGATCAAATGCTTCAGAAAAATGCTTGGGTTGGGTTATGAGATGATTCTAGAATATCCTGTATTGTAGACAGAAATCATTGTCATTGTCCTGGTTTACTGTTCAATAATCTTATTAAATACTTGACACTGTTTAGAGTCAGTGCTAATTGTTAACTCAGTGTTAAAACTTAGTGTTGGTTAGTCAATAAGATGGCTCAGTGACTTCTCTTATACAGAACAGTTCATTACTCCAAGCCTAGAAAGTGTTCTATGAAGTGATTGTCAAATTATGTTAATCTTAGAGAAACTGAAGAAAAATTGCGATTCCCTTTGTTCAGTAGCATCGTTGGAGTTGGAAGATTGTACCATTATCTATTGTCTATCCTTGTAATAGTTTTGCTCAATTATACTGCTTTTTGTATATCTTATCAGTTGCTTTTCTGTGAGGTATAGTGGTTTGCTGTTTGGTTAAACATTTCAATTTCAAATTCCCAATTATCTTACATAACCCTATTGAAAATGAAAAGTGAAATATTTTAGTCTTGTAAACTAGACATTTAGTTTACTTAAGCATAGGCACAGGAGCCAGGCACCGGTGGTTCACGCCTGTAATCCTAGATACTCAGGAGGCCGAAATCAGGATTGTGGTTGAAAGCCAGCTGGGGTAGGCTTTCAGAGACTCTCATCTCTAGTAAACCACTCAAAACCAGAAGTGGTGCTGTGGCTCAAGAGGTAGAGCACTAGTCTTGAGCTGAAGAGCTCAGGGATAGTGCCCAGGCCCAGATTTCAAGCCCCACAACTAACTCACCCCCCCCCCCCCCCCAAATAGCATAGGCACAGAATTATGTGGATTATTTCCTAGTCATTTATGGGATCAAATTTTCTAAAATGTGCAGTTTTCTAGTTGTTATGGAACTTGCAAAGTAACTTCCTGATATCATGAAAACAAAGTACATCATGGTGGCATTCTGGCTGCTTCAGTAATCAACTTCAGTGGTATAAACATGAAAACTAGGTTGAACAAATAGAAAATGTTGTCTGGAAAAATTAGAGAAACATTAAGATGTTTCTCTGACCTCAAAAGGTTCAGTTCAGAGTGTGACTGGCATTCTGAGTTAGTCTTGGAATAACAGTTTTATTCTAAGAACTCTGCCTAGGTAACATTTATATAATCAGCTAATTTCTAGGAAAATATTGGGAATGATATACTAGCTTTACATTTTTAATCTTAAAATCTAAACATTTTATTAAAGACTATTGAAAACTGGGTGCTAGTTGGTACATACCTCTAATCCTATTTACTTTAGGCTGAGATCTTGAGTATCAAGGTTCAAGCCAGTTTGGGCAGAAAAATCCCTGAAACCCTTATCTCCAGTTAACCAGCAAAAAGCTGGGAATGGAGCTGTGGCTCAAGTGATAGAGCTTTGAGTTTAAGCCCCAGTACTGGCACAAAAATACCTATATAGATACAAAAATGGGGTTGTTCAGGACTGGGCCCTTACATTTTATTTAAGTTATAAACAATCATTTTTTAATGGTTAGGAGTAATGCAATACTGTTTTCAGATGGCTTTTGTCATTACTACAGGTTTAAAGTGATTAAACTATAAAAGAGACAGGAATGAATAGCAAAAGCAATAGAACAGCAGCTGTTAACTAGTGAATTTCTTCTAGGTAATTCATGTGAGAAAGTACAACTTTTTTTTTTGGGTCCGGTCATGGGGCCTGAACTCTGGGCTTGGGCGCTGTCCCTCAGCTCTTCAGCTCAAGGCTAGCGCTCTACCACATGAGCCACAGCGCCATTTCTTCCACAGGTAGAAACTCGGCTCTCAGGAACTGATCTGACTGGTTATTAAGCTAGATCAAGAGCTATTCAACTGAAAGTATGTACAGTTTCCTCCAGTAGTTTTGCTTTCCATGGTTTCAGTAGTGGACTATGTTCCAAAATGATTAGAGTGGAAGATTTCAGAAACAATCTAAGTCTTTTTTTTGTTGGTCGTGGGGCTTGAATTCTGGGCCTGGGCACTGTACCTCAGCTCTTCAGCTCAAGGCGAGCATTCGACCACTTGAGCCACAGTGCCAATTCCAGTTTTCCGAGTGGTTTATTGGAGATAAGAGTCTCATTTCCTGCCCGGTCTGGGCTTGGAAGTGCGATCCTTAGATCTCAGCCTCCTGAGTAGTTAGGATTACAGGCATGAGCCACTAGTGCCCAGCATCTTTAAGTTTTAAACAGCTTAAACTGTAAATTTTCTGCTTTATTCTTTATCTTGGAATTTGTTAAATGTTTTCATAGGTGCATTTAAGGAAAAAAAAAAAAACTTTTAGAGTTTGGTAACACATTGTTTTAGTCATCTAGTTAGTGTTTTGGTCTATGTCCTGCTCTGAGGGAATGGAAATCAAAATAAGATACCACTTCACTCTAGGCTATCTATAATTGAAAAGGCAGTAACATGTAGATAGGATATGAAGAAATTGGATCCCTCATGTTTTGCTGGTGGAATGCAAAATTGTGTAGCTGCTTTTAGCAATACTCTGGCAGTTCGTCAACTGGTTCAATAGTTCCCACTTAACCCAACAATTCATTCCTATGTATATGCACGAAGGGAAAGGAAAACGTCCACTCAAAAACTTGTATACACAAATTTTATAGCAGCATTATTCACAGTGGCCAAAAGTTGGAAGCATTTCAGATGTCCATCAACTGACAAGTAGATAGATGTTGCTTAATCATACAATGGAATATTCAAAATAAAAATGAATAGTACTGATAGATGCTACAATCTGGAGGCACCTTACAGAAATGTTACAAGAAACTATTACTTGATTCCATTTATATGAAATGTCCATTAGACTTCTATGTAGACAGGAATGTGTAAGGCAAGTGGTTGTGAGGAGCAAGCAGAAATGCAGTAAGTGCTCATGGGCATAGGGTTTCTCTTGGGGCCAGTCTTTGTCACATGCAATGATCAAAAGCAGGCCCTTAAATATTAATTTAGGAGAGCCAGATCATGGGGATATTTCATTTACAATGAAAAAAGACACAAAAGACGTAATTTCATTATTTAGAATAGATTTCTTAAAAGTTTTATGCTGCGTATGGTGTAAAATAATCCTACCATTTAACCAAGCTTTTCTAAGGAAGACCAGTCTTATTCTAAATAATTTTGTCTGGATACGTCATTTCTCTAATTTACTCTGTGGTATTATTAAAATTTAAGAAAGCCAAGTAAAAGTGTATTGGATTTTCTACTAAGCCAACTTCAATATGGAAGGACATAAACAGGATGAAGCAACTAAAATGCATCCTAGGATTACTTCACCGCTGGCTTCACTCCAGGTTAACATCTTTAGAGTTATTGGCTAAGTACATAAAATGAGAAGATGAAGACTGAAGTTTCTCAAGGAAATTGTAAATAGAAGTAAAAACCAACAAGCACACAGATTTTTGACAACTTGGTTTACTATTGTAGATGAATCCAGTGGGGCAGGAACTGTTACAGAGTGGCAGCTAGCTACTGATGGGATTAATGTATTTATCATAATTTTAACTAACTATGATGTGATTTAATATACTGCAGGTGACCAATTAGTATTTTTTTCTTCCACATAAATTAAATGTCATTAGGTTATATATTTTTTTTACCATTTTTTTTTTTTTTGGCAGTACTGCAGATTGAATTCAGGGCTCCCTCCCTGGCTTATCAGGAAAACACATGACCCCTTTTTGCTTTGGTTATTTCCAAAGTAGGGACTCACTTTATGCCTGGATTACCCTGGGCTGTGATTCTTCTATTTGTGCTTCTCTAAGTTGCTGGGGATAACACGTATGCACTACTGCACCTCACCACTGAGATAGAAGTCTTTGAGGTCTTTTTTTTTTTTTTTTTGGGTCCGGTCGTAGTGCCTGAACTCTGGGCCTGGGCGCTGTCCCTCAGTTCTTCAGCTCAAGGCTAGCGCTCTACCACTTGAGCCATAGCGCCACTTCCAGCTTTTTTCTTTTTGCTTATGTGGTGCTGAGGAATCGAACCCAGGGCCTCAGGCATGCAAGGCAAGCGCTCTACCACTGAGCCAACTTCCCAGTCCCTCTTTGAGGTCTTTTATGCACAGAATGGTCGTGAACTATTCTATCCTTTGATTTGTGCCTCTCAAGTAGCCAGGATTAAAAGCTTGAGCCACTTAAATGGACATTTTACAACTT